AAAGTTCAGCAAGAGCGGCATGAGCAGTTGTGGGTGAACGTTCATACCCCTGTGGGAGTCTGTTAAAGGTATGTTGTATTCCCTCCCAAGTGAAAGCAAACTTCTCTTTATCCTCTTCCTTCAAGGAAACCCTAAAGAACATACCTTTTACATCGAGCGCCACTGTCCATGGGTACGCAGCTGCTTGCGAAGTAGCTGTGAAGTTTGCAGAGTTTGGTACAGCAGCTGGTAGCGGGGCCGTGTTGGCGTTCAGGTGCCTGCTAAACGCCACCTCCCATCGGGTTTCCAAACTGGCCAGACAGGTGAGTTATATGGGGAGTGGGTTCTGGAGATAATTTGTCGTTCCTCCAAATTGGCTATGACTTCAGAAATTCCATTTTGTGCTGCAGGAGAAATGGGGTATTGCGGTACATTAGTAATTTTTGAATCGGGGAGTGCAGGGGCTGCGTGAAGCACCTGCACTGCGGCCTCCCGATTTCTGCTGGGACTGGGATCGATGTTTGAGCTGAAGGACCACACACTGCCATTCGGCAGGCACCAGGTTCATCCGTTTAAAACGTCGAAACCTAAAATATTTTCATGATGATCTTTAACTGCAAAGCAAGTTGGACTTGATGATCTCTAGAGGGGAGTTGGACTAGATGATCTCTAGAGGTCCCTTCCAACTCTGAAAATTCTGTGCAAGCAGTTGACATGCGCTTCTCACCTGAGAGCTGTAAGTTGACCTTGGCAGTTTGGCAGACAATACTTGCGCTGAGCACACTGGTAATCTTAACTCTTTGCCATCCAGCTCGCACGCCCAGTTGCTTGGCATCGTATTGTGTTAGTATTGAAATTTGTGCTCCCCGAAAAACTTCAAGTTAAGATGTATGGCCATCATCACTTATCCACTGAAAAGCTTCCACTTTCTGGACAGGCAGCCCCAATTGCCTTCTGGATGTTACTTGAGTTATTTTTTTTTGCTTCATGCCCTGCAGTTCCTCCCTGCTGGGGGAGGAAGGGGCTGTCTCCCTTTCTGCGGACAGGCACCAAAGGAGCTGAACTTTGTGATCCCCTTCCCAGGGCTTCAGGTTTTGTTTTCCAGCTGGTGCGTGTCCCAGCCCATTTCAGGGCTGTAGTCAGCAGTGCCATGCATTGATTCTGCCCGTGTAGG